AATGGAATTGCAATTGCTGAATTCATATCAGTTCTGATCTGGTTAGGGCCTGTGCTATAGGGCAACTTCAAGCTTTTACTCCCCAAAACCAAATTGCAGCATTATTTGAAGTGAGGAAGACAGTTTCCTCACCCTGGCAGCACTAGGAACTGTAGGCAGTCTTCTACAGTCTTGGGGGCCAATTGGGAACAGCCAATCTCTAGTCTGAGAGGGCTGCCATGTCTGCCCTTTACTGTTAGGCCCAATTGTACTGATGTCTGCAACATGTGGACTGTAAGTAATGAGTTTACAATCTGAATCAACTTCAGGCATCCAATCCAATAAACTACACCAAGCAAGAGTCAATAGCAGAATAAGCTGTTTGTGATTAGCAGAGAAATTTTGGGAGGTTACTAAACTCTGCTGCTCAACCCACAAATACATTTTCCTTACAAAAATAGGACCATTTAAAGTGAAATAAACAGGCTTTCCAACGGTTTGATTTATTGCCAAGAGCATTGTTACAACTAAGAAGTAATCGACCACACACAAATTTTCATACTTTTTCTGCTAAGTTTATGTGACCAGTTTTAAACTAAAATATGTCAGCAAAATGACACAAAACCTATGTTTACACCTCCATAGATGAGGTGTAAACATCTGTGAAAAACAAAAAAACACACATAGCACTTCTCCTTTCAATCTTTTTTTCTTTTAGCCTCTGCAGTACAGCAACAACTACCCTCTGCCAACAAGATCCTGATGGACATCCTGAAGAAGATTCCCAAAAGCCAGCGCTTAAAGCGGCTGACGTGGGAAACGACTAAAAAGAGCAGGATCAGGCTGACACTCAGGGTGCCGTTTATCTCTCGAATGTATAGAATGAAGAAGGCCCAGCTCATAAAAGCCAAGTATGTGAATGTTATTTTTGAGTTGGTGATAATTACTTTCCGTTTTAGCTTTAGTTAATTTTGGGGAAAAAAAACAAAAACATTCCTGGTTTGCTAATCTTTACACTGCATTGTCTGATGTTTTCTATATATAATTTGCTTTTGCAGTGATGCACAGGTTACAAAAGCATCACATGAAGAAAATATAATTATATACTGCCACAAAACTGCTTATAATGACATTGAAAATGTTTTTATGTTGCAGATCTGTTCAGATTAAAATGTATTTGGTAGTGAGAAAAAGAATCAATCTGCACAGAGTGTAAGACTAAAGTTTTCTGTATGTGTGCAGTCAGAGGAACTACACTGTTGCACTGTTGGACCGTTACCGTAAAGCTCTGGAAACTGCCGTTCAGATCTCCTGTCGTCACAACGTGCCTCCGCTCCCTGGACGGACACTCATCCTGCTCTCTCCGGGCATCTATTACGATCAGTCTGCGATCAAGAAACTGGACTTCTGCCTGCCTCCTGACCCAGAGGAACAAGAAAATGAAGAAAAAGAGGCAGAAAACCCAAAACCGAAAGGCAGGAAGACGAATATCGAGGATCATGACAAACTCACTCCAAGTGTAACTCCCTATATTTTTATTTATTTATTTTTTTGTGTCTGGAAAAAGTTTGGCATATTAAAATGACGGAACCTGTTAACCTCTCCACCCATTTATTTATCATGTATCTTGACAGAAGATAGAGGTTGCAGTTTTGCTCGCTCTGATGATCTCCAGCAGTACAGAGGATTGTGAGTTGTGCATAACTTATTCCAATCAGTGGGAAGAAGCAAAGCTGAAGTCTGATGTCCTGTTGGAAAATGTCAGAAGTGTGCTCAAGCAAATAAAGGTCCATATTCTGTTATAGCATCTTATTCTTTATTTGTTTTTGATTTGAGAAATGAAGATTATTGCTATTATTATTGTTCTTAAACCGAGCATGGTAAACTATACTTATAGTTGTTGATAGAGGACAACTGTGCAAACTGCTATAAAGTTTGTTTTCTTTTGCAGAACATTTATGAAGACAACTCTGAAGAATGTGACACAGCTTACTTTGACAGAATATTAAAGAGCAAAAAGGTTAGTTTATTTTTCATGTGTAGTTTGTGATGATGCGTTTGCCTGCAGAGGTGTAACACAGGAGTTGTTTTCACCTACACTTTCAGTTTTCTGTTTCACGCTTTCACTAACATCTCTCTGAACTGTATTTTCTTACTCTCTGCCATATCGTTTTGAACTATTTTTATAACAAAAATATTTAATATGATTCGTTTTTAAATAATCGTGCTGTATCCCTACTGTTAACTTCACTCCTTTCACTCACAAACAGCAGCTTTAATAATAGACTTAAGTTACTGTTTTCATTGCCTGGATGGGTCATGAGCTTTACAGTTGCAGAATTTTTCGTGCCTGTACATGGCACAGATGAGCATCTACAGCTCCTGTAAGAAGGTGGCACAGTACTGTTTTTCTGCCTGCTTTTCAGGTTCACTCACATAACTTTCTTTCTTAAATTCACTTAAATACTTTTGAAACCTCAGGTGAGCAACATCATCGTGCTGTCTGAGTCCTGGATAAGTACAGAAGTCCGCTTTGCCATCAGGAACTACAGGACGGAAATAAACAGCAGTTCCCTTGTAGTGCACATTTGTTCAGATAGGTAATGGTGGTTTTTTTTGTTTGTTTGTTTTTATTTATTTTTGCTGTTCTGTCAGGAACAGCAAAAACAGTCATCACTGGCATGATAAAACTCAAATATGCAATAATTTGCAATGTTTGGTTTTAGTGATGGAAACTCAGAAACCCTCGACAGGAACCACGTAGTGCTGACAGGCTTCAGTGAGCAGGTGCTGAGGTAAAATGCATCATTTTTTATTATTCATATAAACGATATAAATGTTGCATCCATTAGCACAGCAAGGTGTTATAATAATACTGATAACAACAAGCGTTTATTTCACTTGATGTTTAGTCATCGTTCATCTTTTAGCCAATATGATTATTTACTTTCTTGCCACAATGAAACCATTGATGCCACTTCTATATTTTTTTTGGTTGAGTGTGAAACTGGAATCAACAGCTGGTTAGCTTAGCTTAACACGAAGCTGGAGAAAAAGAGCCTCTTGAGTAAAATGTAATATCACATTTGTTTAATGTCCTGAAAAAC